CCTGAGAAGTGACAACATGAATGAGCACAGCTGTGAAATAACAGCCTTATCCTCTGTTATTAGTGCTCTGGGTGGATGGCAAGGCTCCAGTTTTTAGCCACGTGGCCTTTAAAGTTACCTAATGTTGCTAAGCATCAGTTTCTTCATGTGTAAGCTAGAAATAATAAACATACTTACCTTACAGAGACACTATGAGAATTAAATGTCTGGATGCAGGTGAAAAGCTTAATACAGAGTCTTACTAAGGTCTCATAATTAGTTATTACTGTAACTGTTATAGTTATTAGATTATTATTGATGACTTATAATATGACAAGCACTATGAGAGAAAAGTTGCCAGAGCATTGCCAATGACTTCTAGGACAAAGTCCCCCATTTTGCCCACTAGAAATACATTACATATTACGCAGCAAAAGAAGATGACTCAAATAGGGTCAGAATTCACACTAGGAAAAATACTCTACACACAGCTCACCAAAAGGATAAGACCAAAAGCACTTGGAGACCATGATGAAAGGATGACACAGTGAAAAGAACAAGAGATTAGGACCCTAGAAACCAGTGTCCCAGTTGAAATCTTACCAGCACACTTGGGTGTATCACTTAAGGTCTCTGCATTTCCATTTCCTTCTCTTTCAGACAAATCAAAAGAAAGCCCCCTAACCTACTTTAAGATGGCTCTACTTTAAATGTGAGTGGTAAGCAATTTGTGTGGAGGGGCTTGTGACCAGAGGCAACTATTTACCCTTCTCCTAGGTACTTGAAGAAAGGGGCCCAGGACTGCTGCCAGATCTGCTGGGTTAGCCTCTGAGATTTAAAACTCTGAATTTTTGTTTTTTGCTTGCTCTCTTCTCCATGTGCAAATGACCAGTGGCTTCTCCTCTGATATATCTGCCCTTCTCACAAAACTCCAAATGTCTCCAGGCTGAGTTAACTATTAAAAATAGTCACTAGCAAAATCCAGGAGTGGCTGGAGAGGAGAGGTGATGCTGGTAAGGGCATCTCTGACAGAAAAAGTAAAGATGGATCTGAATGAAGTGGGCTTTTGATCCTTATGCATAATTAGAGCTTCAGCTTTGCTGCCAACTGTGCAGGAAATCACGAGAAGAATGAATATTCATGTGTGTAACTTATTTCTATAACATTAAATTGAACTGCTCTTCATTTTGAGATAAAACTCATTTGCCTCTGTATTTCTTAGTGCTCAGTTTATACCTCCTTTAAAAGAACAGACTTCCTACCAGGAAAGAAAAATTAAACTGTTAAAAATTCAAAACTTAAATCCACTATTTTCTTGTGAAGCATGTGTCCACGACAATTTCAATTCATGTCTACAATCTGCATGTTCTAATACAAGGCCATACAGTAGAACTTGAAAACATATACTTCCAATCAGCAGGTTAAATATACACTTTAAAGATGATTCATTTTTTTCTTTGCTTCCTAGTCAATTTTTGGAGGAAAAAAAAAAAGAAAGAGAATGGATTGTAAGAGACAAATGGCATTTTTGAAGTTATAAAGAATAATCCTTAAAAAAGAAAGAATTCTAAGAGACAGCAGTTCCCCGGTATATAATTTAGGTATAGAAACATACAGCACTAATCAATACCTTGCAAAGTTAAGGAATCTAAAAAGACTGTCAGAATGACAATTGCTAGTTGAAGTATTTACCGCTTATTTTAGCACAGATATGAATGGCACAATGTCAAAATGAGAGAACAGACACTTTGAACAGAAAAATGATTCATAGATACAGAGAAAAATCTTACCTTGGAATTATAACATCAATATTCAACACATTTTCATTTTCTTCAATGCTTTTCTTCCCAAGATGTTTGTATGAGGTTTTAATATCTTGGTAGGTCAGCTGAGACTTAGAAGTGTGTCTACATATTGCCTCAAAAATACCACTTAGGGCAGTAAGAGAAAAAAATGAAGTAAACAAAAAGATGACAATTTCTTTAGCTTGCTGGTGAGGTTCCCTGTTGAATAAATAGGTTGGGGAAATAGGGATGTGGCCTCCCTGGAATTCTTGTGCCACTACTTCTCTTTGGGGTGTTTAGCACTTCCACCTCTTTTCTTTCTTATTTCCCTAAGGCTGTGGTTGAGACTCAAGGTATATTTTTCAGCTTCTTACATATATCAAGGTTGAAAGCAGAAATACCTATGAGAGCAGGCAGGTGACAACACAGAAGAGTGAAGCAGAGAGCAGTGACCCGGAGGGTCTAGGGTTCTCCCTTCCAGCTGACAAACCCCAGGAGGAAAAGGTCAAGTGGCCTCAAAGTTGCTGACTTTTCAAATCAATCTGGGTATTTCAGTGAAGCCATTTGATTTCTGAATGTTGGTTCATTTTAAGAACATTTTGGGTTTAAGGAAATATTTGGTTCTGGGTTGCATATCCTAGACCGAGTACCTACTTGATAGTAGCCTGGGCTACAGTGCTGCTGGTGGGCCAGCCTGGGGAGTGCCCAGACTGACTTCCAAGGCCAGCTTAGAGCCAACTCTCCCAGCCTTTCCATAACCTTGGTAAACTTCCAATTCTGCTCTTCCTCAGATGAAACAGTTTCTTGTTCTTGCTACTGAACCCTGATAGCTAAATATAAGTGATAAAATGGCAACTTGGACATACAATGCCAAAGAGGATTTATTTGAAGCAATTTACTTCAAAAAATAGAATGTTTATACTCTGTTTCTGTGTATGTATAATTTGCCGAAATACATTCTGCGGTCATGTATAACTAAAAAGAACAAATAAAAAAGGAAGACTATCATAGAGAACTGAGTTTTGAATTTCCCCCATCCAAATCTATATGCTAGCCAGCATCAGTGTAAAGAAAAGTAGCAAGAATTATAGCACAGCTCTAGGAACATGCAGAGTAGAGAATATAGAGAAAGCTTTCAATACTGGGAGTCAGAAGAAGGCTAGATGCCAGGAAAATTCTCTTATTAATTCTCAGGAGTTTAATACCTTTGGCTAAGAGATGGGACTTTTAACAACAACCCATACTATCACAAAAAACACAAGCAAAAAGCATTTTAATTTTTGTGCTGAGATTTCTGTAAATGATTTGATCATATCTAATTATATGCCCCTGATTATTATCACAGTAGCAAACTGTAGAAAAGCACCATTGAATCACATGAGATTTGTTCTTGATCTCACTGAGGACTTCCTGCAGCTTTCCAGCTATCTTTCCAGTTGCCACTTATTTATGCTTGAGAGACAAAGAACATTATACAGACTCCTATGTTTGGTTGCACCATGCAGATAGGAAAAATCATTGCTCGACTAATTTACCTACCAAATGTGCACACCCAAGGTACACATTAATATTAGGTATTATATATTACTTTAAGTCACTTTAAATCTTTCCAATCCAAGGAAGCTCATCATATTCAGTGACTTTTATGTAGTTCAGGTGAGTTAGATAATTTATAATGAAGTCTTATTTATTGGCCTCGAAAGCAGATAATCCAAAGGTGGACCCAGCTGAGATCTGTGGCTCACCTTGCTGTTTTCTTCACTTCTCCAGACCTAGGGTGACACCTGCCTAATTTGCTACCTCTCTGTTCCTATATCTAACTGAGAGAGAAGGGAACAGTGATATAAAATAATTGATACAGCAAGTTCAACTACCAGACTTTAATTTTCCAAATGACCAAGCTAGACTGTACAGATATGCATGTATTAAAAATGAAACTAGCATATTGATTCTTTTTCTGGAAGTGAACCAAGCTGCCAGCCTGGAAGTAGAAAATAACTTAGGATGTAAGAAATATTTCCACATAATTTATTTTTTCAGCGCTGGGGATGGAACCCAGAGTCTTGTGCATGCTAGGAAAGTACTTTATAACAGAGATACAACCCTAGCCCATAAATACGATCTTGATTCTTGAAATCTAGGTTTCAACAAGAACTAGTTTAACTTACTAGTTCCTCTCCTGAAGTTGAGGTTAGTCATACAAGTGTATATATAAAACTAGAAGATAAAATGGCGAAGCTCACAGATAGTGTTCTGATCTTTTTGTAAAGATGTCATTTTTCTATCACTAGAACCAATACTGAAGAGTATTTTGTTTAAAAAGGAATAAGATGAATAAATAATTACACTTTTATCGAAGAAATTTTAGTAACCTACCCTAATACTTAAATCCACATTAACTGTTTGAGAGTCACTGTGTTAGTTTCCCGTGGCTGTTGGAATGAATAATAATTTGGTGGGTTGAATCAATACAAATTTATTATATTACATCTCTGGAGATGAGAAGTCCTAAAATTTAAGCTGTCGACAGGGCTGTACTCCTTGGTGGATGCCCTAGCAGAGAATCCATTTGCTTGCACTTTTCAGCTCCTAGACTCCACCTGCCTTCCTTGTTCATGGCTTCTTCCTCCAGCGTCAAAGCCAGCGGCACCGCATCTTCAAATTCTTTTGTCTCTATCCTTTGCTTCTGGTGTCACATCTTCTCTGATTCTGATCCTCCTTTTTTTTTCTTCTCACAAAGATCTTGTGATTACACTGAGCCTCTCTGGCTACATTGGCAAAGTCCTTTTAATCATATATAGTAACCTATTTATAGGTTTCAGAAATTAGGCTGTGGACAACTTTGGAGGCCATCATTCTGTTTACATAGTCACTAAGGTTGCACATACAAAAGAGAATATTGAAATATCTATGTATCTATCTGTGTAACATTCACCAAGACAGCTTGCTAAAAAAAAAATTCATTCACAAGAAACTACTAAAATAAAACAATGAAAAGATCTGTATCCTTTCATAGAACCGAGTGTAGAATTTCTACGTGACATAATGATTATTAGAAAGGACAGACAGGAGGCTTTCCCCCAAAATGTGTTTTGCCAAAGCAAAAATCAAGCAAGGCTTATTTCCCCGTGCATCCCCGTTGCTAGAGACAACATGTGCTTGTTCATTCAGATATTGCTTTAGGCCTAATGCTGACATGGTAATAGCCTCCTGGACACTGATCACGCTAAGTGTTACCTGTTTGAATAAAGCGTAGTCCTGTCGTGTGCATAATGTTCACTGACATACAAGGAAGAAGATGAAATTGTGGTTGTCAAGGAAGCAGCTTCAAATAGTGATGGAGTGCTGGGCACCAGGTCTGGCCTGTGTCGGGATCCCAGGGCTGGGGAATGAAAGGGACACACTGTCATGGATCTCAGTAATACATGCTTGCTTCTGTATCTCTAATAACTAGAACGAGTCCAAACCATTCATTTTACATATCAGGCAGCAAATGAAATTATGAATGAACTGTGCTCTTCTGAATTACAATAGAAATGTAAAAGAGCTGCTTGCAAACAGGTTAAACAGAAAGGAAACTGCATTAATTTCCAAAATGGCTTATGGAAATGACATTAGGGATGTTCTTTTAAAAATCTAATAAAGCAATTTATTATTTCAAAACAATGGCATAAAAACTCCTAGAAGCTTAAGGAGATAATTTGACAGAGATTAAAAGGATGACAGGCAGATGAATGAACAGAGGGCGAACCTGCTTTGCCTTCCCTATGAGATGCATGTATCTGGGAATCTCAGTATATGTAAGAAGAATTTTCAGGGCCAGAACAGTTTGCTATGCCTTAATGTACAGGAGCCCAAGAGTCCTCCCTTGTCAGGAAAGAGAATATTCCAGACTGAGCAGTGAAACATGCCCATCTTTTCAGAGTCTATGTAAATTCTTTTCCATTTTCCCTGCAAACTGAACTAAAACATGATAATAAATAAATAAATAAATACAAGCTTCTGGCATTCCTTGTTAGGCACAACAGATTCAGAGTTAGGGATGTTTTTAGTGTATAAATGGAAAAGGACTCTAAAAGGCATGATCTTGTGGGTGTAAGGTTGGGTTTGAATTCTTTATTTTTTTTGTTGCTGGGATCAGATCTAGGGCCTCGTGCATGCCAGGCAAGGGCTCTACCTTGTACCACTGAGTTACATTCCCTCAGCCCAGGGTTGTGTAATTGAAGGAGTATATATTTTGGGGTAGAGAGAGACACACAGGGAAAAATGGGGTATGGACAGGGCTGGACTTTGGTCAGGAGTCTAGAAAACATATTAAAATGTATAGATGGTAGAGTTCTGCCTCCAATTCAGGTGGAAATAAAGAACTGTCATGGTGAATACCAGATGATGACAGTATAAAACCATGAGTAACCAATGTGCTCAACATTCAAACCTCAGAAAGGTTTCAATTGAACATGGCATCTGTTAGCAATCTTTAGTATACTTGATCCTGACTTCATTAAATACAGAGAGAAATATGAAAACCCTTAATAATATTGAAACCTGAGTCTGAAAAATAAGCTGACATCAGATACCAGTGAATTTCTACTAATTAGAAGGCAGATGGAACTGGATTTTAAGAATACCAAAGCAGACTTAGGTCTTAGGGATGATTAGCTCTATGAACTGAATGACAGTGAATGTAAAAATGGTCACACACCATCCAAACACTGAGCAACCGGCCCCGTCACACTGGGGAGCAGCTCTTTGAAGCAAGAAACTACTTCTTTATCCTCCTGAATTTTTTTTTTGTTAAAAAAACAACAGTGTGATTGGTAGAATATGTATATATGTGACTACATGATCAATATGATTCTGTAACATATATACTCAGAAAAATGAGAAATTATATCCCGTCTATGAATGATATATCAAAGTGCATAAATGCGTTCTACTGTCATATATAATTAGAACAAATAATAAAACTTTAAAAAAAAAGAATTCTAAGATGATTCCCATCGATCCACACACTTGTATGACCTCCTTTTGAGTGTGGGAGGAACCTGAAAATATGATCCCGTGATTATTCTATGTGATCTGTCAGAAAGGGATTTTGCTGATGTAATCTTGGTTACTTTGAGTTGGGTAACTTTTAAGTTAGTCAAAAGGGAGATTATCCAGGGGAATCTGATGTAATCATACAAAACCTTTCAATTTGGGTCTGGAGGTCTGAGACAGGAAGAATTGAAATGCTGAGAGGACTGACTTACAGAGAATTCTGTTTGCAGTTGGAGGAAGCTGCATGACAAAGAGTGTAGATGGTTGTTAGGGCCTGAGCATGGCCCTTTGTTGTCTGGCAGCAAAGAAGGGACACCAGCCCCTCAACTACAGGAACTGTATTCTGCTGACAATATGATGAGTCCCCAGCTATGAACTCAGTCAAGCTGACACCTTGGTTTCTGCTTTTCAGACCCTGAGTAGAGTACCTAGGTATAAAACTGCCTGTTAATAAATAGGTTTTATTTTAACCTGCTAAATTCTGGGTAATTTGTTCCATGTCAATAGAATATAATCTAAACATGCTGAGAATTCCAGAAAACAAATGGTAAAAAACTGGAGGAAATTTTGGCAATGACTTGGTGCACTCTGGAAGGAGAAGTCTCCCAGCATGGAGCATTATGAAGAGGCAAACCCTGTACGTGAAGGAACACAGGAAAACTCGTTTTATAATGGGATATAATAAAATAGGAATGTGCTTCAGGACTGGGGTTGTGACTCAGTGCTTGCCTAGCATGTGGGAGGCACTGGGTTCAATCCTCCCCAACATATAAAATATAAATAAATAAAATAAAGTTTAAAAAAACGAATATGCTCCAAAGGGATTTCTTTGACCCTCAGAGACATTTTCAGGTGTAACCTCTCTAAATTTGAAGCAATAGGTCTAAGAATTCATCAAAAAAAAGTATGGTATGTATATTTAGTGCTTCCCACGTTTCCAGACTTTCTGGGTACCTTGTAGTGTAGTATTTCCAGCCCCTTAACAGTTGGACCCACTGCTTGAACTTCAGCAGGGTTCCTTAGGGGAAGGAGGTGGTGTCTGCCAGGAACTGGAGCCATCAATTCAGAGAAAAGGACAACTTTTTTGTTGAAATCAATAACTTGTTCAAAGTTTGGTTTATGGAAAGATGAGAAAGAAAGAGACTTAATAAAGTACACTTGGATAGAGGTTGCAGAATGGGATGGAATTAACGCCCTAAGGCCTCGGAGGAAAAGAAAACCCCTACAAGAGTTCTTATCTTCTATAGGAAGCAAAGGGCATTTTTAGGAAATGTTGGGATTCTAAAACAATATGCTGATAAAAAAGAACGTACAGATAGAAAAATTTAAAGTGTCACTTCCCCTTATTGCATTTAAAGAGAAAAATCAAATGGTTAACTCAGTAAATAGAGAAAAATATTTAATAAAATCAGAAATTGAGTACTCATTCTTGATAAAAAACTAGGGGAGGGCTGTGGCTGTGGCTCAGTGGTAGCGCACTTGTCTGGCATGTGTGGGGCACTGGGTTCGATTCTCAGCGCCACGTATTAATAATTTTAAAAAAAGCTAGGGGGAAGAAACAAAAAGGAACTTCCTTGACTTAATTATGGGCACCAACTTCAGCAAATTTCAACAGAGAAACATGAGAAGCATTCCCTTTAAACTCAGGACAGGGCCAGGCTTCCTGCCAGCACACTTTTATTCACCATTGTCCAGATATCCTAGCCAGCAAGGAAAAGGGAAAAGGGATGTGAGGTCCATGTAGCCGCAGCAGACAGACAGAACTCCCAGTTTTAAGAGAGATCCTACTTGAAAAGACAGGGAAAAAAAAAATTCTGTATCTACCCAAAGAAGGAATCTAACAAAGTGTATTCATGCTATGTAAGGAAAACTTTATAAAACTTTATTTAAATTCATTAAATCTCTAAATAATTGAAGAGGCAACTTGTTACATTGTATATGTGTTTGTATATATGTGCACAGAAAGCCTAGGAGTGAAAAAAACAAACTCTTGATATGTTACCATCCGATTGTGGGATTATAGATTTCTCTTTTTGAATATTTTAGTATTTTCTAATTTTTACCATAAACTATAAATTGTATTGTTCATATGATATTTAAAATTTATATGAATTGTATCATACTATACACAGCCTTTAAAAATTTAATAGAGAATTTCTTACAGCAAGTATTTTCTAATTTTTCTACTGTGAATTTATGTTATTTGTATAAAT